GCAAACACACAAGCACTATAGTGACTATCCATAGCCTTAAGTACTACTGATGTGTGCTTAAGAGAATGTCTAATTCACAATGAACAAAGCCTGGTTTGATCTGTCTAAGCACAATGAAACATTTTTATTATATCCTCTTTAACTGTATATCCTATGTGCTTTTGCGTTATGCATATAGAGGTGCATATGATTCATTTTGATAACATGCTAATAATGATTATTAGTGCATATGGAAATATTAATCTTATTTTCTGAACAGATTTGACAGAAAAAAATGATACTTAAATGTAAGGCTTGAAAAACACAATGCATGAGAGCTTGCTGTCCTCTAGTGGATTTGTGAAGAAATTCAGGAATAAGTGGTCCCAAATATACTGTAGTGAGAGACAGAGCATAATATAACTATGTAATGTATAGTTTTTGAGCAGCAAATCAGCATATTACAATGATTTCTGAAGGATCATGTGACACTGAAGACTGGAGTAATGATGCTGAAAATTCAGCTTTGCCATCACAGGAATAAATAACATTTTAAAATATATTAAAAAATAACAAACTGATATTTTAAACTGTAATAATATTACAATATATACTGTATTTTATTAAGTAAATGCAGCCTTGGTGAGCATAAGAGACTAAAGTCAAAAGCATTGGAAAATCTTATAGACACCCACATTTTTTAAGTTAGTTTATGATTATAATGAAAGCAATTATAAAGTGCTACCAAATATATCAGGCTTTTTGTCTAATGTTGGCTGAGAGTATGGGGGGAGCTATAAAGATAGAAACTTTGTTTTGAGAGATTTGTTTTTACCTTGGTCACCGAGGGCAGTGCTGATCTGATCCATTGCAATCTTATACACTTCAGGATTGGACACAATAAAAGCAATGGTCCAAAATGTTATCTAGAAAAAAGTGAAACGTTTGGTCTCAGTAACATTCTGTTCATCTGTTAATCTGGGTTCACACCAGCACTGACATAAACCTCTCACTTACTGGTATAGCATTTGCCAGGGAAGCCCAAAGCAAAAGTAAACCATAATTTGGTAGATATTTGTCAGGTACTGAAGTAGTCAGGTGCTGTAGTAAAGTCTAAGGAGAAACAGTGACAGATTAGGAACTCTTTGGCTTTAATTGCATTATTAAAGGGATAGTTCACCAAAAAATTAAAAATCTGTCATCCTTTACTCACCCTCATATTGTTACAAACCTGTATGCATTTCTTTCTTTTGCTGAACACAAAAGAAGATATTTTAAAGAATGTTGATAACCAAACAGTTTTAATTTCCATTGACTTCCATTATATTTTTTTGTCCATACAATAGAAGTCAATGGGAACCAAATCTATAACCGTCTTCAAAAACTAATACAGGTTTACAGCTTTGGAATGACATGAGGGTGAGTAACAGAATTTACATTTTTGGGTACACTATTCCTTTAAACAATGACCAGGTATGGCAGATATGAGTCTATTATGCTGATTCCAAATATATATATGATAATGAGAAGAACAAAACTGAAATTTCAAATGTCTTATCGTCCTACAAAAAAAGGCTTGGAAGCCTGACTGAATCTCTTTAGCTCCCCCTATTGTGCAAACATGTTCATACATTTAAACATTTAACATCTATAATGAACTATTCAGTTTGGCATTAGACTCTATGCCATATGTTTTGAGATCAACATCTTAAGTAAAATTTTTAATAATTTCACACTGTTTTTGACAGTACTGAGTGAAACAGTTATAAGCTCTCCATTTCGGTTTCCAGGGATAAAAAAAAAAAAAAGTAAGATCCCCAAAAAGGCCATAGTTGTTTTATCATCAACATGTGGAGGAATTTTTGGTATAGATTACCTATATTACCTTTCCATAACTCTCACTGTCTCGAGTCTCCTCTGCGTTGGCAACCATATTTCTTAGCAGAGAAATGAGCCATTGCTTTGAGTTTGCCCATTCCCTGAAGACAGAAAAGAAACATCCTTTACCTCTTTGGCTATAGATGTTTTAATGCATTTAAGAAATATATGTAGATATGCAAGACCTTTAGTCGAGTATCGTTTTAAGTAACTTGTGGAAACATGATTAAGGAGACTAATCGTGTTTAATAATAGCAGTTTTCAGTCATATTGTGGCAGTACTGCTCACATACTTCAGGAACATGTCTGGGAGTTGGGAGCCATACTCAAATCCATCATCATATGTTGTGAACTTCTCAAGGAACTCCTGCCTGGATAGGGCACTACTGGGGGAATTACATCGACCCAGTAAGTTACACATCACTGCTGGATACATAACACTCCTGAAAACAAGTTAAGAAGTGTCTAATTCAGTTTTAAAGAACAATTTTTACTTGAATTTATCTTGTCAGATTGCAGGATTAATGTAGCGGATTAAAATATATTATACCTATCATAAGCATAATCTAATGATATGCAGTGGCATTATTAGGCACAGAATTTGTCATTTCCGTGTTAACCAGTTGCTGCAAAATGCATGGAAGGTATCTACTGTTCTCTACGGGGAACTTTAGCACAATGTAAATAATTGATATAAGAAGACTATACTTGATGAGCTCATTTAGCTGTCCAGATCCTTCGCTTCCAAGGCTCTCCAAATGGTCATTAAATTCTTCACAGAGATGAGCGGAGAGCATTGCCGTGTTGCCCGGAGTCAGTCTGCCCTTGATTATGGTGATACAGGTCGGATGGGTCTTAAAGAAACTGTCTTTGCTGATAGAAGCTGGACAGGAACGCAAACAAGGTTAACATGAGTAATCACATTATCACTGACTATATTGATGACGTTCATCTTATATTGAGTTCAGTCAGTTCTAAGGTCACGTGTGTAAAAGAGTAATGGCATAGATTCAAATTGATTGCATTCAGTGCTAACATTGTACCTGTGTTGTAAACAGGTTCTTGCACTGCTTGTTCAAAATCAACATCTTTGGAAGTGAAAAAAGCTCGGAAGTCCTCATTTAGGGTCACAAACGTCAGTCTCTTCCCAGCAGCTACAACAGTGAAAACTGGTCCATACTAGGAAACAAAAATATGCTATTATAGTTTTAGGAATTGTATTTTATTATTTCTATTTCATACAAATGATAACGACAAAATACAGTACAAAACAGGCAATTTATTTAGTGACCCCCAGTGAACCTTAAATGACTCGAAAACACTCTTTTTGTGTGATTTTTGCTTTGGCAGAAGCAATTACTGAATTTTAGAGCAGTTGTCCATTCAGCAAACCTCTCATTAGCGTCGATGCTTTCACAGAACTGGCACAGTCGTGCCCAGAACAAAAATTGTGTCAAAAAAGGCCACTGTGTGCAGCTCCTGCCCTAGTTGCATAAATTAATGATGCTGAACTGAGCTGTCCTCAAACTCGGTTAGTATGGCACAGCTCAAAAACAAAACACACCAAGATTAGCCACAGGGCTCCAGCACAGTGTCTGGGTAATATTTTTGCAGTTGATAATGAAAGTATAAACAGCCAGCCATCACAAAAAAAAAAAAAAAAAAAATCTTGCAATCCCACAATGTTAATAAATATGCATGCATTATGAATATAAGCAAGCATGGTAAAGCAAAGAAAATTGTTTAAAGCCTGAGTGTACATTTTCTAAAATTATTATATTAGTTATAGCCGCCCTAAATAATGTGCGGCTAACTTTAAAAGAAAACGTAAAACAGAAAATTATAATATCTGTTATTTTTAAAGTTTTAATTACCACACTGTGCTTTTAAATTTTTCGCATAATAGTTGAGTGCAGCAGGTTCATCACAATTTGCATGGGAGGAGCTGGACTTCTGAACCCACTGGCAGACCAAACCTGATTTATTCCACAGACAATTTGCAGACTTTTAAATACAGTTTTACGTTTTAAAAATATATATATATTTTGTGGAAAAAATTAACAACACTGAAATCAAATTTCAGAAATCCCACTGCACTGTCACTTGCATAAATGAAAATTAGTATATTAATTAGTATTAGTAATTTATTTATATATATATATATATATAGACTAGGCTATTATGATTCTTCATGCAAGTAATTTTCTCGAAGGGCAAACTTACTTTGGCTCTGGCTTGCTGAATGAAATGCAAAGGTGCTTTGCCAAATTCAAAAGCAGCACCAAACCAAGGTATCCAACCTCTTATGCATGGAGGAGCATTGGTGTGACTTTTACCAAAAATAAGATGAAAAGAAATAATCACAATAGACACAGTCAAAATTAAAGTAATCCATTCCATCGCAACCTAGAGTGCAATGATGCTCGACTGGAACGCATATGATGAGTCTGTGTGGAAAAAGTCCTGTTAACATATCTGTCACGTACCCCCCCACCGCTAACCCCTCCTACTCTGAACAACCCATTGTATCATTAGCCCCTCCTATTACAACACTTACCCCTCCCACACTCTTCTCACACCATGACATAACCCCTCCTACTGTAGGCCTATATATATTTTTTTTTATCTCCGATAGCCCCATCCCACTGTGCGACAGATGTTGCTACTTGTAGGATATCGCGCTGCTGACTGAGCAGTTTATTTAAAGTCAGTTGATCGAGATATATATTTATATATACACATAATGCATGTCATGCTAAATGTTATCAAGTATATCTTCGTCTGTAAGCAAAATTCTTTTAAAAGTACTATACACATTTCTAAAATCTGCTACAGAAAAATAACAACAAACGTAAGGTAGCCTAATATATTTATACACCCCTACAGATTTAATACAGTACCATACAATAATACATTTTGTCTCAATTTAAGATATAATAGTTAAAAATGTTATTAGCCTAATTAAATCACAGTAATAAATAACTTGCAATACTTTGCAATACAGGATTTCATTATACTTATTCCCAATATATTTAAGAAACAAAATAAGTAAACAAAACAGTTGTAAAACATTAAAACATGGTTTAGGTTAGCCGAATTTGCTTTTTGATATGAAGCAGCAGATTTTTGAAACACGATAGCTGACGGCACATCTATGACGCCACACTCCATCCGGGTCCTCCGCGCCTGGGCCATGACGTCACGGGGTCCAGGAATGGCGGCGCTGTCTGCAGAGGGAAGCAGTCCGAAGAGCCCGAAACTTTATTCCTAACATCACTCCGCGGCTACACGAGCTCCACTGTTCCACCGACGGCCATATCCAGCTCTTAAAGAGCCAGCGCAACAGCGGAACCAAGTCTCGACGTTGTTACCGCTGAATTCTAACGTCCCAGGCTCTATTAGTTTGGTTGACTTTGCGAGGGCCAAAAGACAAGAGCAAAGACAGCGACTAACGGTACATAAAAACAACAAGCACCCCAAAGCATAATTTTTCGTGTCCGTCCAATTCATAGAAGGATCTTACTTGTGTTTTGCTAGTTTTTTTGTCTTGCTCATAAACCGAAAGGCAAGACGCTGGCCTGATAAGGTGAAGCCACCAGCTGCGGGTTTGATGCCACGATGGAGAGTTTAACACTGAGCGATGTCGAGCAGAAATATTACTCTGAACTCTTCCTCTCCTGTGATGTCGATAACACCAAGAAAGTGGCTTCCAATGGCAAAGTTCTCGACCTCTTCCGGGCGGCCCAGCTCTCAAACGAAGTGGTGCTTCAGGTAGAGTATGCATCTAATTCAGATATGTGTGTATTAGTCAGCAGATATGTGTTGTTATGCTTATACACGTAAGTAAATCGAATTGATGACTTGAGTTCATCGTCTCAGACATGGCAAGGACTCTAATGGCTCATATGGGCGATGTCAAGAGTATTTAGACCGGAATGATGAATCAATCTCATTGTTGACGAGTTGCACAGATGAATTGGTGATGCATCTTGTAGTGTTAAACGTTGTTTCCTGTTGTGCAAGTCTGTAGACTTATTAGTTGTGCCTGCTTCCTCTTAAATATGAGCATAAATTGTATTTTTCTGCTTATGTCAGGAAATCCATTAGGTTGATGACTCTTGAAATGTGTTTTTCTCACTTGATAGTATTAATAACAAACAAGAAGGTTTGGTGTTGTTATGCATAATGTGTGATATTTTATTTAGGGATTTAGACATCACTTAAACTTATTAACTGTATTACAGCTGGTCCATAACTTGTCGATAATATGCATTAAAACTCTAGCAGTTTTATACTGTCAAGCTTCTTTTGGGAGACCCCTTACATGGTTGATGGTTCTTGAAATGTCATAGAGATGTTTTTGTTTCATCACTTGGTGCTTATTAGCTAACAAACACTCATCTGTTGGTAGGGTATTGTTAGAGCATGAAGATTTCAAAAACTTGTGGTCTTCTTAGTTTAGTTGCTTCTAGATCTTTGGCCAAAGTTTCGTGAAGGGGTGTGTCCATGAGTTGCTAGTGAAAATTACATGTTGTTATATTGTTATTGTTGTCTGAGCAACAGATTTATTGATCTGTAATACTAAAGTAATTGACAGAAGGGCATTTCATTGAAGGTTTACTTGTGAGATATTAGCGTTTTGTTATATGTTTTCCTCTGATTTCTCAGGTTTCATTAATTTATCAATATTTAGCATTTAAGATTGAAAACTGTTAATCAGTCAAGTAGGCACAGTAATGTGTATTAAATATTTTAGTTTTTTGTTTTAAGTGAGTTGTATTAGGTAGGCTGCTATTATATTGGTGAATGTTTGGCCATACTGTTCTTTAATTTTAGGGACCCTTGGTGGATAGAGAGATGGAGAGCAGAGACCCCTCCCCTTGTTACATATGTATACATTTAAGTGTTTCATTTTATGCCTGGCCTGTGGTCAGTAATATATTTTTTTATTTTAAAGAACTAATTAATACTGTTATTCATCAAGAATGAATTAAATTGATCAAAACACAGCAAGTACATTTATAATGTTACAACATATTTTTATTTCAAACAACTACTGTTCTTTAAACTTTCTATTCTTCAAAGACTCCTGAGTGTATTACAGTTTCCACATATATAAGCAGAACCACTGTTTCAACACTGATAATACTTTTTTTTTTTCTTGAGCTCCAAAGCAGTGTATTAGAATGATTTTTGAAGGATCATGTGACACTGAAGACTGGAGTAACTGGAGTCATTCAAATATTAAAGTTATTTAGCTAGTTATTTTTAGTCCTTTGCTGTATATTGTATTTTTATGTGCATTTAGGCCTACTTCATTAACTTATATTCACCTCTGGTCATGTTATTTTACGTTCACCTTTTTTTTGTAGATGTTACGGTCAGTTTATCTCATTGAAAGTTTTGTTTCCATTGTCTTAGATTACTGAACTTTGTGGGGCCACACGTCTTGGTCATTTCGGTCGGAGTCAGTTCTACATTGCACTGAAGCTCATTGCACTGGCCCAGTCTGGAATGCCCCTGCGTGTGGAGACCCTGAACAGTGGTGAGTAGCAACAAACCTTATTTATAGCTATTTTTGCTTGTGTGTACTGTATGCACCAAATCAAAATACTATTTTAATGTGAAGTTATCGCATCCGTGTAATATTGCAGACACTCTTTTTGCAGATGAATCTAATGTGACATTTGCTGCCCCATTACATAACAAGAATTAGTCTAGAGGATAAAAAATACTTCCTTTCTGTTGCATTTGTATATTTCTGTGAACTGTTTGTGCCTTTAAGCCAAATGCAAATGTTCCAGTTTGTTTGTTGTCTATCATGGTGGTTCTCTCTCTCTATTAGGGGTGTAACTGTTCAAATTGCTTATGGTTTAGTTTTTATCACTGTTTTAGGGTCACGGTTTCGTTAGGGTTCAGTATGTGCTATGTTCAGGGAAAAAACTGACTGTAAAAATAGTCATCAAACAAATAATCAAACTACAAGCAACAGCACAAATAAATAAAATAAATACAATAGAGCAAAGATACAAATAAAATAAACTCTGCTTTTTAAGTTTTTCAGATATCTAACAGTAGTCTTCAGGTACAGAAATTGAATAAAGTAATCACATGTAAATGAATAACTGCATATAATCTTCAGTGAATGAAAATTAATCATTATTATTAAAGTTACAAAAGCTTTAGTCAAGAGCAGTGAAGGATTTCCTTGTCTTATGTTGTTTGATTAACCCTTTGGGGTCTAAGGTGTTTTTGGGGTCCTTGAGATGTTTTGACAGTGACATTTGTGCTTTTTTCAGTTGCTTATAAACATATTAATGGCAAAGGTGTAATTGCTCTCTATTTAGCACAAACAGGGCTACCATAATATGTGAGAAACATGTATGTACATGTTTATATTTTTGAGAGAATGTTTATGCATGGTTATTGAAAAAACTAAAAATTAAAGTTTCTGAAATAAGGCCTCAAAACACATACTAAATATGTGTCCACAAGACTTTTGACTAATGGATGTTGTCACCTAGAGTTTTTGCTTCAAAATGATCTGAAAATCATCCTGCCTAATCATTAAAACAATAAAACATAAAACAATATCATCAAAATAATGCTCTGATTCACACCTGAGAAGACAATGACCCGCATAATGAGCTGCATAATGATCCTTTCATTCAGGTGTGTCACTGGGTACCACAAGAAAGAATGTGAGGACTTATTTTGTATGCATGCAAATTGTATAATATCCAAGGTAAACATTTCTAGTAACTATGCAGTTAATTCTCATACTGTATTTTCAGAAAGTTTTGGAATATATCCTCTCCCAAAATGTGTCACTAATAAAAAACAATAATAAATAATTTAATGAGAAGGCTTATATTGACCTATTACGATGTTGCTTACATCTACCTTGTAAATATATTTTTTGCTATTTTATTAAAAAGATTTCACATGTAAATCAACAACAATTACACTTTTAACAATATTTCAAGTGTAAACTTTCTTTGTAAAAATTATGCATTTTATCATACGTAGCCTATTTCAAAGTTAAGGATTCATTAGTTTGAATATTGGAACAAACACTATAAAAACATCTTAGTTGATAATTCAATATACTTTATTTTTTGACGAAACATCCCATACTATATATTTAACATGAGCAGAAATTGGCGAACAAAAGCTTATTTGATGTGACTGTAGCCTTTTTTACAGTAAAACTTTATAATCTATCCAAAACTAATCAACGAAATCTTGTCTAAACATTCATAATTCGTCTGTAACATATCGTTTTTATTATATATTAGCATATAAATGTTAATTTGCAGTTTAATACGTTGCTTATACGGCACACATGCAAGCTGTTCTGTAGTAAACAACAGCACGCATCTGTGCCGTTCATTCATTAACACACAGACATGCGGTTCATATTTAAACAGTCTTTTTGCGGTTTACAGACACTATTGCATATCGCGATTAGAACAAAGTACTTAAGAATAAAGAACTTACTATTCCACCTCAGCTGGATCCGTTGCTCCTCAAAACTAAACCGGCACTTCTGAGGTAAATTTTCCAGGATTATTATTACGATAGTATTATTCCTCACAGCGTCGTAAAGAGTCTGATTAAACTTGATGTGTTTTATCGAGTTGATGTGGGCGTTGACATGTTTGCATCTTGCCTCAGATTATTTGCGTTTGAATAGTGCGCACTCTCTGTGGGTGTGGTCACATTAGCACTTAATGAGCTATAATGAGCTGAAATGAGAAGGACTGACATCTCTCTTTTCATACAGATTACATAAACTGAGAATATTTGTTTTTTATATATTCGCTGAGTTACACAAATAAAGATATTTTTGATTAAATCTGAGAGCTGGCTCACTCCTTCATAGGCTGCCAGGTGATTGATATCTGCCGGCCCAGAAAAGTTAGTAAAGACATCGTTAAAATAGTCCAAGTGACTACAGTGGCTCAACCTTAAGTTTATCAAGCGACGAGAATACTTTTTGTGCGCAAAAAAAACTAAAATAACGACTTTATTCAACTATTCATTTTCTTCTGTGTGGGCCTCTGAGTGCGCAGCGCTTTTGGGTTGTACGTCAGAACGTAGGCTCACTATTCTACGTTCTGACGTACAACCCAGAAGCGCTGCGCTGTTACACTATGTCAACAGCTTAGCAGAATGACATGGAAGAGAAGAGATTGTTGAATAAAGTCATCCGCGGAGAACGGTATAGTTAAATTTCTTTTACAGAGAACCGTTACATCTCTCTCTCTCTCTCTCTCTCTCTCTCTCTCTCTCTCTCTCTCTCTCTCTCTCTCTCTCTCTCTCTCTCTCTCTCATATTCATATATATATATATGTATATGTGTATATATATATATATATATATATATATATATTAGAGCTGTCAGTTAAACGCGTTATTAACGGCGTTAATGCAAACCCATTTTAACGGCGTTAATTTTTTTATCGCGCGATTAACGGTCTTTTTGGCCTAGCAAACTTTGTAGTTTTTTTTTCACATGCTTTTGCAACAGGACGCGGCATGCGCGGCGCTGCGCTATGAAATCCATTCATTTCAATGGCTTGCGCCGCGCGAGGACGTTTTGTTGCTTCGTCGACCAAAGCGCAAGCGGATCTAGCTAGACCGGAAACAAAACAACAGGAACGACGCCACACATACTTGATTGGGCTTGCTTGCCGGCCAAATAGTTGGTTAACGTTACGTTTTGAGTGGATGACGAGCGCGAGACACCGAAATGGATGCCAATAAGATTCTGAATGGAAAGTTTACAAGACCAAAGTGATCTGTGTGTTTTGTTGTTGTGAACTGAGCTATCATCATCGCGATCGCAGCGTGTCCAGTCTGAAATACCACTTGATGGCCAAGCGCACACACACAGCTGATGCGAATTCTCTGCCCCCTCGTCAATATCAGGACCTCGTCAGTATTTCTTTCACCCTTTTATTGATGGACAGTGTTACATTGTGTGAGAGATTATTTGCTCCAAGTGAGAATGTTAGTGTGAAATTGAACACAGTATATGCCAATGTTGTTTTCAATAAAAAACATTTGCACAAAGCAAGCCGATCCACTTTTCCATGTTGATAAGAGCATTAAAATGAGAAAAAATAATGGGGCAAAAAGAAATCAAGAGACATTTAGAATAGATAAAAATGTGTGATTAATTGCGATTAATCGTGAGTTAACTATGACATTAATGCGATTAATCGCGATTAAATATTTTAATCGTTTGACAGCACTTATATATATATATATATATATATATGTATATATAAAAAAACAGTCCCAAACAGGAAGCCCTGTGCAAACGTTCTACATGAATTTTGGAAGGTTAGACACAAGACCTTGTAAAAGAATGAGAAACTGACAGTGGTATAAATAAGCAGGAAATAAGACCCGACTCATAGCCTTGAAGATACTGCAAGAACACAAAGTCACAGTCAACAGGAAATTGCTGACAATGCCCTGGAGTTTAGATATGCTTGGGATAAACTTGTTTTCTATTGATTTCTGTTCCATTGATTTTAAAGTTAGTAATGAAAACTTTCGACCTCAAAAAAAAACATCAGTTTAGTAGTGCTGACAGTAGCTGAATATTAAATCTGGCTCTGTGTGTAGAAGTCTAATGTGGAGTTGTGTTTGCAGTCAGGGATCTGCCCCTCCCTCGCTTTGTGATGGGCAAGAACGAGCAGGAGACGAGGCACGCGGTCATGTTCGCAGACGCAGAGAATCAGGGGCACTACTTCCCCAGACCTCCAGTCCGAGTGCAAGCCAAAAAAGTGTCAGCGCACGAGATGATTCAGCCCTGTGTGCCCACTGTTGATCCTCAGGTACTACAGCATATATCCCACGTACTATCATTAAATATGTCAAAATATGAAGAAGAAAAATCTGTTCTTTAGGCCTTTCGGAGTGTATGTAGTCAGCTAGATCTGTCATTGTCTTATGTTGTTAATATTAATAGGACAACCATATTGACTGTTCGTTTACTTGAAAACTAAAACAATGTCTATTAATTTGGGGTCTATTAAAATGGGGCTATAAGTATAAGGCCAGATGCCATTATTTAAAAAAAATTTTTTTAAAATATCTAATATTATTATTTAACTTATATTAGCATTTAACTTAAAACATTGTAGTTAAATAAGCAGGTGTGTTGAATAATGTATTTGTTTTTGCTGCAGTAATAAACTTTGTATAGCCAATTGTGAAAACAAAAATTATTTAAATAGAAAAAGTTTTTTTTTGTTTGTATTTTTTTATTATTATTGTTGTATTTTATTTATTTTTTTGTCATGAATGTAGTCTTTGATGCTGAAAGCAAAAAATGGCACAAGATAAAACAGGAAGTTTTAAGAGATGAAGAGTTGCAAGTTTGAACCCCACAAAGGATCATTGAACTGTGCCATGGCAATTAACTCCTGGCTGCTTCATGGAGTTTCTAGTCCTGTACTGTATGTCCTGTCTCAGATCTGTTAAATGACTACTTGTTAGCTCCACCATGTATCTTCTGTTCTGAGGCCATCTGTTTGGCCAAAAGAATTACTAAGTAATTAATTTTGTTGATCTCTGGCTCCAGCCGGACACCACATCTCCTGTAGTGTCTCCGCACCAGTCGCCTCCCACTTCACCCCATACCTGGAGGAAGCACAAACGCCAGGCCAGCGGTGGAAACGTGGACAGACAGCCCTCAGTGCCAGGAGTTGTTTGGCCACTTTTTAGAGAAGCACAGCCAGGTATTCTGTTTAATAATGGCATAATTTATTATTTTGGAAACAGAATAACCTTCCTTGCCAACATTAAAAAATTATATTATAGATTTATGTAAATATTGTAATATAATATTTAATATTGATGTGGTAATTATCTATTAATAAAAGTTATTATAAAGTATTGCTCTTATTTCTGTGTACCTGAGCAAGTCCTAGGCAAATATAACTTAGAGATCAGTTTGTTATAATGGTGGGTGTTTAATATTAAAGGTCACATGATGTACTAGATTCTTACTAAATGTTGATGTATAATTTGTTTTAATTGATTCAGTCCAATCTTTTTTTTTAACTATTCATTCTTTATCTTTCCCTGATCTGTGTCTTGTTTAAGGACCAGTAACAGGTGACGGGATGTGGTCCGCCCATTCACCCCCTCCTGTCCAAGAAACTTGGGTCAGCTTTACAGACACCCCTCCCTCCAGCACACTTCCAATGCATCCCCCCTCAGCTCAGGTAATAGAGTGCAGGCCTCCATGTATACATTTGTTATGTATACAATGAAGTCTGTCACCAATAGCCTGCTGGAACCAAGGATTCTGTGGCAGAACAGATGTTTAATTTTGTGTGAACGGCAGCACAAAAGTAGACTATATTAAATATTTGCCAAAGCCCAATTGGATGCATGTCCAGCGAATTACCAGTAATACAAGGAATTTAAAAAAGGTGGTAGCTGAGCAGTTGTTTATACTGTTTAAAAAAATCTGACCAACCCCAAACTTTTAAACATATACGAGTATATTACAAAATCTAAATCTTATTTTTCCCTCTTCTTTTCCAGCCGGAGAGCACAACAGTAAGGACTGTGATGTCTGCAATGATCACAAATGAAATCCAAAGGCAGACCAGTGGTTACGATGACCCCTGGAAAATCACAGATGAGCAAAGACAGTATTACATAAACCAGTTTAAGACCATTCAGGCAGATCTCACTGGTTTAATCCCTGGTAATTAAGACGTCATTTTGAACAGTAACTGCCTATCTACTAAATTTACCAACCTAAAATGAATCCGTCCTCTGTTGTTCAGGCTCTGCCGCGAAGGAATTCTTTACGAAGTCGAAACTGCCTATTCTAGAACTGTCTCACATTTGGTAAGTAGTTTTACATTGAAGGGTTACATTGTCTCTCTTTGTTTATTTTGGTGTAGTGTAGATTATAATGGTGTAGATTGCCTTAAAGGGATAGTTCACCCAATAAGTGTGTCATCACTCACCCTCATGTTGTTTCAAACCTGTATGAGTTTCTTTCTTCTGTTGAACACAAAAGAAGATATTTTGATGAATTTTGGTAACTAGACAGTTAATGGTAGCCATTGACTTTCGATAGTTGCTACCATCAACTATTTGATTACCAACATTGTTTAAAATATCTTCTTTTGTGTTCAACAGAAGAAAGAAACTCATACAGGTTTGAAACAACATGAGTGTGAGTAAATGATGTGAGTGAATAATTTTTGGGTGAACTATCCTTTTAAGCAGATGTGTATCCAAGGACATTAGCCTACTTGAAAACGTCATATGTCGATATTCATAGCCGATTTGCATTCGATTTGTTAATGTCCTGTCTTTGAAAAAGGAAGTTGTCCCTGTCATCTGCTTCTTTGTACTTTAAAATATTCATCTTATCTGTATTGACTGACTGACCTGCTTTACCTTGCAGGGAGCTATCAGATTTTGATAAAGATGGTGCACTGACCCTGGATGAGTTTTGTGCTGCATTTCATCTTGTAGTCGCAAGGAAAAATGGTTATGACCTTCCTGAAAAGCTCCCCGAGAGCCTAATGCCAAAGCTTATTGACTTGGATGACTCAGCAGGTAAGCAGAAAAGCCTCTGCTTCAAATCGGGCTATATGGAGCCCTTATTTCATAACATTTCACTGATTTTTTTTTTTTTTAAAGCATGGGTATGTTAAATTTATTCAAAGTGACAGTAAAGACTTTACAAAGAAATTATATTTAAAAAAAATGCTGTTCTTTTGATCTTGTTATTCATTTAAAAAAAAATCACGGTTTCCACAAAAACATTAAACAGCACAACTGTTTTCAACATTGATGATAATAAGAAATGTTACTTGAACACTAAATCAGCATATTAGATTATCAGAAATCAGACTATGATTTTAACTGACTATGAGTTTAATGGCTGCTGTAAAGCTTTGTCCTCACAGGAATCAATTATATTTTAAAATATCAAATAAATATATAAAACAGTTAATTTTATAATATTTTCCCATATTATTGGTTTTCCTGTAAATAAATAAATGCAGCTTAAGTGGGCATAAGAGACTTCTTTCTAAAACATTTCACAAACCTTTTAGTTGAATGTTCAGTTGTTGTGTGTGTTGTCATATACTCTCTTTTTTACTTTCTTTTACATAGACACAGTTTAAAGTGATTTTTAATTAAGTCTAATGTAATTGGTCCAAAATCTGCATATTAAACCAAAAATATGTTTTTGTCACTTCCCGGCATTTTACTTTCATTGTGGATAGAGAACAAACTTGCTTCTTATTCCAATAACAGCTTCACAGGATGTGAGCCTGTATCTTATCAACAGGTTCGCATATTAAAATGGAGCATATAATGTGCCCTTGGGACCCCCGAGAGTCCTTGTGAAGTTTGCCATTTTAGATGCAAATTATTGTTCTGCTTATTCTATAATGATGCTGAATGACTATCAGGTGTCTGCATAAAGTTTTTATTGTCTGTATGTATGTTACAGGAGTTCCAGAACCTGCTGCTGAGGTTAGCTTCTCTGCTTCCCCTGTGGAAGTCACTCCAAATAAGTCTCCTTCTATGCCTTCCCTGAACCAGAACTGGCCTGAGCTCAACCAGAACAATGAGGTTTGGACTGTGGAGTACCTTACCTCTGTCACTTATATTTGTATTTCTATCTGCATTTGTCTTTATGGGGAAAATAAAACTAATACACTTCTGCTTGGAAGAAAGAGGTGCTAGTGAAGCACACTTTCATCTCATCACATGTAACACTCACATGAGAATTGTCGTGACAGTTAATGCTTGTGAATGTGTTGTCCTTGTAGTCAAAACTGCTGACCTGAAGTCACATTTTTAAAATAAATCTTTTTAGTTTTAGATAAACCTCCTAGAATACTCCGTAATGTGAAACATTTCCAAGTAAAACAAAATATTCAGTGGTAAACAATGGCAGAATTTGATTGGATTGGGGGCACTTTAAACCAAGACAATGGGCTATCATTTTGTGGTTGCCATTATTTTTCAAGGTTATGTCAAGGTTTAGGTCAGCATAAAGCTGTTATGAAAGTAGAGTAGGTTATTACATTTTGATTGAAAATGATGAAAAGAAACCAAATTCTATGAAAGCCCATATAAAAAAAAACATGCTTTGGTAAATAATTGACATAAAAAAGTGAAATTTTGAGATACTGCATCATAATTATGATATAAAAAGTCATAAATATGAGAAGTACTAGAATAACCGTTAAACATCGCACAACAGAACTCGGGGCGTTTAAAGGGATACTCCACCCAAAAATGAAAATTCTGCCATCATTTACTCACCCTCAAGTTGTTCCAAACCTGTATGAGTTTCTTTCTTCTTCTGAACACAAAAGAAGATATTTTGAAGAATATGGGTAACCAAACAATTGATGGACCCCATTGACTTCCATTGTATGAAAAAATAATAATACTATGGACATCAATGGGGACCATAAACTGATTACTGACATTCTTCAAAATATCATCTTTTCTGTTCAGCAGAAGAAATTCATACAGGTTTATATCAACTTGAGGGTAAGTAAATGATGACAGAATTTTCATTTTTGGGTCACCTATCTCTTTAAGAAAATAGTAAATAGGGTCTGTTTTGATTTTATGCCATCTTTCAGTTCTTTTTGAAGGTGAAGTGTGTGATTTTATTGAGATATTATAATAACTGTTAAGAGATTTATAGGTTGATTTCTAAAAGAAAGTGTAAAACTGTGGCTCTGTGGGGCTTTCAAAATATTTGTTTGAGCATCCCGACTGGTCTTACACAGCAGTATCAGTGGCAGTGAAGTTTAGGGCATGACTATCTGTTTCGCCGACCAATGCCAGACGGGAAGAGTGTTCAGAAAGCCTGTTTGGATAGTAATTTGTTTTGCAATTCCATTTGAAAACGCAAGTGCCGTGGAAATTACACACTTCACCTTTAATCAGGTCAGTAATGTTTTGATCTACTGGATATAATTATTGGGGGTTCTCTTTTGATGACGGCTACCTTTCTCTACCAAACTGATCATTGTAATAAGGAAATAGAATGTGACATTCTCCCTCCCAGCCTGTAAGGCCATTAAGATGTAGCATATTCTCTGGGGTCAACAGAGGAACAATTGTTTAATTGTTCCTTTGTTGACACCAGAGAATATGCTACAGTACAATGCAAGACAAATCACGGGTTTCTTCTAACAGTCAGAGGGCACACTGTTGTTGTATTATGGTCTCGGTTTGCTTGTGTGAGGAGTGGAGTGGCTCCACCTTGCTGACATGTTTCTGCTCTGTCTCTCCAGCAGTGGGAGACTTTTAGCGAACGCTCCTCAAGCTCACAAACTCTGACCCAATTTGATTCTAACATTGCACCAGCTGACCCTGTAAGTCAATCACTCAGTGCTCTTTCATGATTAATGATATTCATTAACCCAGTACTCTGTAAATTCTCTCTGAGAGCGCATGTCCTCAGGATAAATTCAAAGCCACAGTGCCATCATCAAATTATTCGTTTTTTTTGTTTTGTTTTTGCTTGCTGAGCTTACAGATAATTCTTTCATGCTCTTTCTTTCATACTGTATCATGTAATCCAAGTGATGACTCTGGCTGGCTGTCCTTTGAGGGTGTTGTTCTTGAAGTCTTTTGATGTGATACAATGATTTAGTTACTCAGCGTCACGTTCTTAACTATCCGTTGTTCTTTACGACTGAGATGACAAATCTTCATGAAGTTGAATGGAACAAAATTGTAGTTTTACGACAGCAGCAGTTGTGCTTGTTTCTTTTTAGGATACAGCAATAGTCCACCCTGTGCCCATTCGTATGACACCCAGCAAGATCCACATGCAAGAGATGGAGCTCAAGAGAACTGGAAGTGGTGCGTCCATTAATGTGCTTTTACAATGCAAATTCCATAGGCACTTATTACGTAAAATGTTTATGTTTTGTTCTCAATTATTTTTGGTGTATTCTCTTATCTTAATCACTATTTCTATTGCTCATACTTTTGGTTAGACGTTTAGAATGAATTTTCACCTAGCGGATTAAAAAATCTCATTGACCTGCATTGAAGAAAGAACCAAAAGCCATATTTTCTATATCACAGAGACTTAGGATAGGGCTTTTTTGACCTTAACAAGCAACCACTTAGAAACCACATAAAAACACACTAAAACACCAGAACACCTCGGCAACGTCCTAGCAACCATCCACTACACAACTGTCAGGCTGATTATGAATGTAATTTGGTTGTTACGACTTTGATTATGCTCAAACTGATAGAGTTTGTTCCAGTTGCGCTCAGTCGGTGTTTAAATCATGTAGTGTGCAGTCTAAAAATTCTAGTCTTAGAATTTAAGAACCAGCTGTTGTCACAAAGATTTTATTAAACGTTTAATATTTGTGACTGACGCCGGCAACTATGCTGTGGAGATGCATCCCCTAACAATTTTTTTTAATTTTGTCAACAACGACTTATGAAATAATACAAAAGAAACATAAGTTTACATTGCAAGTTAATTGTTTTTAGGCTATTCATTTTGTTCTGCAGATGGAAAAAAAAGTAATTCTGTAAAAATTCAGAATAAGCTGTGAGTTCTCTCATTTTAAAAAGAACATTAAGTAGCTGTCCTTTTATTTCGACCTGGAGTCTAAGAAAAGTTAAACAGAAAAAAATAAAATGGTACCTGATGTAGGCTATATAACTGCACTTGTTTCTGAATATGTACTAATTTAAATAGTCTATGAATAAAACAAATCACAAACATGACATTTGTAAATAAAATTATTTATATATTCACTTTAATTATATCTAATATATTTGAGGAAATACAGTTCCTTGATCATATCTGCTGCTCTTCTGTCAAATGCAGTCATGCTTTCAGAGTTTCCAGTGTTGGCAGTCCCATTAAATAATTTTGGGAACGTTGTACATTTACTGTTGACTTATCAAATTAAAATTAAAATGTAGAAATAACATTTTAAATGACTTCTGTTTCGGAATAAATAAAGCAGTATTTTATATTTTGTTGTAACCGGTAACTTTTAACTCTGGAATTGGAATGGAAAAATAGCCCAGCGTTGTTGCTCAGAACCAATTCGTTTTTAAATCCTGATTTGAGAATACAATCAGGAAATACATAATGAAATGTGTCTAAAGTGAATGGGACACTATACTGTCAAAGAGCACCATCCTTCGGATGAGATATTAAACCGAGGTCCTGACTCTCTCTGGTCACAAAAAAGCCAAATTTGCCCAGTGGCCTCTGTCCATCATGGCCTCCTAATCATCCCCATATATATATATATATACCAATTGGCTTCATCACTCTGTCTTCTCTCAACCAGTAAGCTGGTGTGTGGTGGGCGTTCTGCCACATTGGTGGTGGTTGAGGAGATTCCCCCTTCTATGTAAAGCGCTTTGAGTGCAGAGAAAAGCGCTATATAAATGTAATGAATTATTATTTATTATTATAATAATAATTAATTATTAATTATTATAGTTGTTTAATGGAATTTGTAATTTGCAGTCTAGAAATCTCTTAAAGCATTCTTTCTTCCGCAATAATCAATGTATGAATTAGCACAAAACGGTTGTGCTTCTTAATAATTGTTTTTAAAACCGTGACACATTTTTAGAAATAAAAATACATTAAAATCACTTTTGTGTCCTTGCTGAATAAATTTAATTGCGGTAACACTAACTAATGTTACCAAATTAAACCTTATTGTAATGTATTAACTAGCATGAACTAACCATATACATTTGTTACTGTATTTGTTCATCTTTGTTAACGTTAGTTAATAAAAATACAGCTTTGTTCATATTAATTCGCAGTGCATGTATGTTGAAATGAACAAATATTGATAAATGCTGTAGAAGTTCAGTTCATATAAGTTCGTTAAATAATGTAGTTAACTAATGAAACGTTGTAAAGTGTTGCTTTAAAAACAATCTTTCTTAACACAAAATTTGAACTGTATGGTAGTCACAAAATGGAAATCTGTAATAATTTGGTTATTAGACTAATTTAATTATTTACTCTTGTTTTAACAGATCACACACATCCAACTAGTCCGTTAATGGCGAAACCACCAGAACTTTCTGACGAGACCAAGCTAGCAGCATCTATAAAGTTTCCTGGTACCTCTGTTGGTAAGTACATCTGGACTATTCAAGCATGTAATTGGCTGATCTTCTTATGTAGTTCATTCGAAACCATTACCCTTACTTTCTACAGGAGATGGCTATAGCAGCTCAGATTCATTTACATCTGATCAAGAGCCCATTTCCAGTGCTGTGAACAGACAAAGGTACTTTACTTCTTGTTGTGGCACCAAATTCAGACTCACTTTGATCTGTGTTCATCTTAGTGTTTGTGTTGTCATGGCTTAACATGGATTAGATCAGGAAATGATTTAGTGCTTTAGATGTGAGTTTTGCCAGCCAAAAAAGTACTAACAGCTAATTTACTTACTTTTACTTTACTTTTTACTTTTACAGGTCTCACTCTGGCACCTCTCCGGAAGGACTGAAGGTTGTGGCTCCGCCCCCACCTCCGCCCCGCCCCCACGCCTCTCACTCACGGTCCTCCTCTCTAGACATGAACCGAAATTTTGCTGCTGTCCCTGCAGGTATACATGCACACAAACAGTTAATAAGTAACTCATAGCTTCCTGTTTTTTGGAGTACGGTTAGTAAAAGCTGAAGTTGTCTTTTGTAATAACTTCTCCAGCAGGTTCGCAGCAGCAAGGTGTAGTGGCCTTCCCCCCCGCAGTGCCTCCGAGACCACTGCCCACACAGGTACAGCCCAGTGGTTAGCAATGCTGTATAAACTGCTTTCAGACAATTAGATATCTATTTCGCTTTCTTTAAAAGAGTAATGCAATATCCAATTCTCAAATCCCCAGACATCAGTGCCACATGGTCACCGGTCAGTAGAGGGAGATGGTCTTCCAGCACATACCAGCACGTCACCCCATCAGATGCCAGAACAGCCCAACTTTGCTGACTTCAGCCAGTTCAAGGCTTTTGCTGTGGACCAGCCGGAAGATGATGAAGAGAACCCATCTGATAGTGGACAGGTACAAATGGAACCATATGTTACGTTAATGACTGATTATGAAGAAAAAACATGCAGAAATGAATTGTTTGCAAAAAATATGTATTAAACAAGTAAACAATACATTTCTTATAAAAAAACATACGCTACCATTCAAAAGTTTGAGGTCAGTATGTTTTTTTTTTTAAATTGTTTTTGAAAGAAGTCTCTTATGCTCACTAAGGCTGCATTCATTTGATCAAAAATACAGTTAAACAGTAATATTGTGAAATGTTACAATTTAAAATACCGGTACCTGTTTTTTATTTTAAAATGTAATTTATTCCTCTGATGGCAAAGCTGAATTTTCAGCATCATTACTCCAGTCTTCAGTGTAGTGTTGTCAAAAGTACCGACTTCGGTACCAAGTCTGTACTGAAATTAAAAAAATGTGACGCTTTGAGCGCTGTTGAGCGGAATCGTAAACACCTCTGATTGCCAATTATGCTCACGCGCTCATCAAATATGTCTGTGATTGGCTACAATGATCAGCGCTTCAAAAACATGTTGTAAATATACATCAATGACGCTCTTCACCGAGCGCTTACACGCACACGGGAGCGTTTGAAAGCAGGCGTCTATCGGCGAACTGGTCCGCTGATAGAAGGCTGCTTGTGCTTTCAAAAGCTCCCACTCCCATTTTAAAAAAAAACTTTCAAGCACTTCCGTGTGCTCTCAAACGCTCCCGTGCGTTGATCATTGTAGCCAATCACAGACATATCCGATGAGCGCGTGAACACAATGGCCAATCAAAGGTGTTTACAATTCCGCTCAACAGCGCTCAAAGCGTCACGTACCCAATTTGGTAACACTTTACTTGAAGGGGTGTGCATAAGACTAACATGACACCTTCATAATCATGACATGACACATGTTATGAATATGAAGGAAGTTTTATGCATGTTTGTGACAACTGTCATTAAGTGTCATTCGCTCAATTATGACATTTTGAATGCAAATATGACATTGTTTGAGTTGTCTTTGTTATGACACCTTGACATAAACCAATACATCATAACCTGTCAGTGTCTTTGTCATGACAACTTGACATTACTAAGACAACACAACCTGTCATAAACATGACATAGCAGATTAATTATCAAACTTAAGAAACCACTTAGCTTTATTGGTTAACATTACATTAAACTGTCAGGTGGTTGGTTTTGACATTGGCTGTCATGAAGCCATTATAACTGTTTAATGACAAATTCAATTTGTACCACTGTAGTTGAGGTCACGAAAAATATTCATGACACAGTTATAATGGCCTTATGACAGCCAATGTCAAAACCAACCACATGACAGTTTAACTTAATTTAATGTCAAGTTGTCATGACAAAGACACTGACAGGTTATGATGTTATGGTTTATGTCAAGGTGTCATAACAAAGACATCTTAAACAATGTCATATTTGCATTCAAAATGTCATTATTGAGCGAAAGACACTTAATGACAGTTGTCATAAACATGCATAAACCCTACTTCATATTCATGACATATGTCATGTCATGGTTATGAAGGTGTCATGTCAGTCTTATGTACACCCCTTCAAGTAAAGTGTTACCTTAAATTTCAGTACCGACTTGGTACTGAAGTCGGTACTTTTGACAACACTACTTTAGTGTCCCATGATCCTTCAGAAATCATTCTAATATGCTGATTTGGTTAAACATTTCTTATTATCATCAATATTGAAAGCAGTTGTGTTTTCTTCTATCTTTTCTTCTATCTTGTGTTTTCTTTTTGTGGAAAATGTGATATTTTTTTCAGGATTTCATCAAAGAACAGCATTTATTTGACTTTTTTTTTTTTTTTTTCACTTTTGATCCATTTAATGCATCCTTGCTGAATAAAAGTATTAAATTCTAATATCTCACTGACTTCAGACTTTTGAACTGTAGTTTATATATTATGCATATTTATAAATGCAGGCAGAAAGATGTGCAGAAGCTCCCGGGACGATGAGAACAGCAAAGAACGATGTTCAGGCAGAAGAACGAAATGCAACCACTGTCAACTCTGTAAGCCAGTCTCTGCCAACCAGTCTTTATATCGCATATTACTTCAGCGTTATAATACCTCAATGTATGTTATCCATAGGCCAAAGTATCCACTCCATTGGCCCCACCTCCCAAACCGGTCCGTCGAAGACTGAAATCAGAAGATGAGCTCAGACCAGATGTGGAGGACCTTCCCCAAAAGTCTAACGTCATAGCCACTGTTCTAGCAACCCAGCCCTCAATTCCACGGTGAGCTCAACTGTCAATCCACCAGGAGAGAAAACTGAATATTTTATTTTTATTGTGGCAATATTTTCACAACAATTAATAAAAAAAAATACAATAAAAAATTCTGGATACAATGTTTGCTTGTATCCTAATGTGAGCCTCCTTTGCATGTTCTGTTTAAAAACAGGTCTATCGGTAAGGATAAAAAGGCAATCCAGGCTTCCATCAGAAGAAACAAAGAAACGAATACAGTTTTAGCCAGACTCAACAGTGAATTACAGCAACAGTTGAAGGTATTGTGAGACGTGTTTTGAATGTGACCACCAGTTTTATAAAACATACTGTTCAAAAGTGTGACGATTCGTCTTTCCCAAATTTTGTCTTCTTAGGACCTGCTAGAAGAAAGAATATCTCTTGAAGTGCAACTGGAACAGCTTAGACCTTTTTCGCATTTGTAACCGGAGTGTGCGTGTGCTTGAGATTGAATGTGTGTAATGAAAGAATGATTACCCCTTTTTTTTTTCTTTGTCTTTTTTTTGTGGTCTGTTGGATCCTCTGGCAGGATGTCCATTTCACCCGTCTCCACTCCTCTGCTGACTGTGTGAGATGAGACAAAATCGCTGCTTCCTCCAGACCGTTCTGTCTCACACAGCCATTCAGAGGGATGGGGCCCAAGATTATTATCCGTTATGGCACTTTGATGAAACAGAAAGTATGAGTGGTTGTATATGTAATACCACAGACATTGCAGGTTATGTTTAGTGTGTGAGGCAAGAGCCTGATGTCATGGCCGGCAAGAGGCTGTAATTCTGGTTAACATGAAGGAGCCTCTTCCCCTCCTGTTCTCCAGAGTCTCGAGGCAGCTTGTCATGTTCTTCCATGTTAGGGCACCCGTGTGTGCTCAGACAATCATATGAGGCCATGCGCTGGTCCTAAAAAGGAGAGAACTGATTTTTGGGAGATCATGTTATTTCAAAAGTATGCTTCAGTAAACTGATTCTGACAGGCACTTGTTAAAAGGACAGTTCATCCAAAAATGTCATTGCAAACCTGTATCATTTTTTTTTTTTTTTAAATTTGAAGAATGTCCTGGCTGATCTTTTTCCAAATGATGAAAGTAAATGAGGTCTAGGGCTGTCAAGCTCTACAAATACAAAAGAAACACCAAGAAAGTGGTCCAAAAAACTTGTGTGCTATATTTCAAATGTTTTTTTAGTTATATGATTGCTTTTTACAAGGAACAGAAGCTTATTTTCTGCTCTAGTTAACTGGAGTGACTGAATCATTGAGTTGAACTAATGAACTGGATCAGTCAAATTTGTGAACGATTCATTCATTTATTTATTTATTTATCTGGATCAACTGAATCATGAAAAGGATTCAAACAAAATTAAATGAATCAATTGTTCACAAATCGGACAGTTCTACCTCTCTTATGACAAAACGTCAAAGAGAATTACAAATAACGACTTAAGTCGGTCCCTAAAGTAAAATCTATTTTATGGCTGAAATGATTTTGAAATATAATGCACAAGTGAAATAAGCTGATACTTTAATGCTGCTTTTCTTTGTTAGCCCTCATTTACTTTAATTATATTTAAAAGAGTTGAAAATTCCCTTTTTTTGATACACGGATGAAGGAAACTCGTACAGGATTGAACAATTTGGAGCAAATGACAGAATTATTTTCGGATGAACTAACCCTTTAATCTTTCTTCCTTGCCATACCAATGGACGGCACATTGTGTGTGTTTGTTTCATGTGCATGAGAGAGAGTTTGAGGACAACCGTTACAAAAGAATGGCATCAAAGGCTGCTTTATTTCCTTCTCTTAACACACTCTGTTTTGGTATAACAAAACGACCCGTTCGACCTTGTACAGTCTTTCACCCAGGGATGGCAGATGTTCCTCTCTCAGTCTCAAATGTTGGCTGTACCTCATACGGTACATCATCTGCATCATAAACTCTGTGACATCATTAGTACATAATTGTGAGACCTGAAACAATGACTGCACTTTCTCCCCTTCGGCTTTCATTTGTCTTTTCTCGTCACTGTTTTTGCATGTCATTCACAATCTCATTTTGTATAAAACGGCTCTTAACGATGAACCACTTGATTTGTATCTGTAACGTCTGAACTAGTGTGACGTTTGTGTTGTTACATAGATTTGCGTCATGTCTCTCATTCATTCATTGTTTTTGACTGATGTCTGTCTTTTTCTTTTACTCATCCTTAAAGCCTTACTTCCTGGTGTGCAGGTTTTCACAGTAATGTGTCCCCCATGTTAAATCAAGGTGAGCCTTTTCTCCCCGCTGTTCAGGCTGATTTACTGTATCAGGGGTATGTTGTATATTGTATGATACACACCTTTTGATCTCGTATGTAAATTTGCATTAATTGCTGACTAACAGCAAATATTCTATTTAATTGCTCATATAATGGCTGTGGGATCATAAACGTTTAACTGCATGGATGTGTCTCTGCAGAATGAACTAGCAGCTGTGTGATTTTTACACAAAATAAAAATGGCACAATATTTTAATAATTTCCTTTTTTGTCAAGCGCTCCAACTGTTTTCCAGTAGTCCAAAGTCACTGGGGCATTTCACTGTTTACTTTACTCCTATTGTCTGTTTTCTTGTTACAAGACACATGGACAAGCTGTGCTTTAGAGATGGGAATTATTCACTGACTCAGCTGGTTGCATCACAGGTCATTAATTCGTTCGGTTCATTTGAGAATGAAACCAGTGACTGAGTGAGCCATTGAATCATTCACTTCAATCTTTGATTCATTCAAAAACGGCTATGTTCGTGTTGTATGGAAACCTAATGTTTTTTTGGTGAAGCAAAATCAAAGTAACTGGCAATATTGTGTCTAAAATGTAAGTAACTCGTCACTAAAGTAATGTCACTCGAAGTCATGCTGTTGGTCTTGCTTAATAATTATACAAAAAACATACAAATTACATGGTTCCAGTCTTCTGATTTGATTGGACAAGAGTGCCGATACAATGCACATTTATATCCATTTTAAACCTAAATGTTTTAGGATAAGAATATATAGAACAGCAGTCATGCTCATCTGATTTTGCGTATATATTATTGAAATTGAAGAGTATTATTCTTTATATTAACATTTTCATTTAGTTTTCATCCAGATGAGGGTGAAGTTGAATGCTAATAAGCTAATAAATAGAAAAATTAGAGCAGAAGTGTAAATGCAGAAAAGTGCATAATTTTTTTTTTTTAAGTGCAATTAATCATAAGGCAATGAATTACTTAAGCTCTCTCAGAAAAGATGTCTTCGGCCTTGTTTTTAAGGTTTCATTGGATTCTGCTGTTTGGATGGAGGTTGGAAGTTCCAGCACAGGAGGAAAGTGAATGAATGTTATAGGAGGTGTCCTTTTACTCTTATTAACATATGGAAACTGCTATGCTGGCAATTTTACACCACCTTTTAGCTCATTAAGAGATGAAGAAAATCTGAAATTTTGTGTGTTTTATTGATATTTGTCAATGTACAGTTGATTATATTTTCATAAGCACTTATTCTATTCAATCTCTGTAGGGTCTCTGAATGTTAAATAGGATGAGACAGAAGAAATAATGCTAGACAACAGAAATCCAGCTACATGAGCACAGCATCTGTCCATATTAATATAGTTCTAATTAATAAGGATCTTCTCAAGTGCTTTTCAGAGAAAAGAAATGATCATCTTCACTGGAAGTTCCCTCCCTCCAAAACGTTTAGTTTGTGACCCTGGAGAAGAAAGCATTAATGGTTTTGATAATTATGTAATCTAATTATGATAATTAGAATGAACCGAAATGGAAAGATTGCTGTAATAACTCACACAGTGTTCTGTTTGTAATAATCCAAAGCCTCCTGTGCCACCACCTCGGAGAATTTTGGGTCGCTCCAGGGAATGTCTCCTGGCACTGTGAAGCTCATATCTGGCCCGTCGAACAGTCTGGCTGACACTTTAGTGTCAGCTGGATCCTCTACATTATCTGAGCCTTTTGACATCACCTGCACAAAAATGTTGGCGATTGAGTGATGTGCATAGTGAAAGGGGTTACAGTTGTTCTGAATCACATAATTAGGACCTACTGCCTGTATTTTAAAGAAGCCATCTTCATTTTTGGTGAGGTTAGCTAGAGAAGACACCCAACCGAATTGCTTGTTGAACAGGTCCAGCACACTAGAGGTGTTGAACATTTTCTCTTGGAATCGCTTTAGCAGATTGTTGTACTCCTGGGTGAATGTCTCAGCCCTGGCAAGAGCCTTCTCCAGCTCCTCCTTCACGGGGCCTTCCAGGGGCCTCTTTCCAGAACAGTCTGAGGAAGAGAACAAGGCCCTAATTGTTAGATAACTGATTTCTCTTATTAAGATCCCAAACTGGGACCAAAATATTGTAAGTTCTGTGTTGGTTGGATAATATAACATGAAATCAAGGCATTTTAATATTGCACTTACCAATATGCTGGATCTCTTTACATTTCTCACACTCCTCCTTTAATTTAATGCAGCCAGCCGAATTGCGGCGGATTTCCCTGCAGGTCATCTTATCATTTCCAAATGGTTTAGATATAATAACATCCTCGCTTACTCTCCCATCTGTGAATACAGGTTTACAAATGACCATTCAAAAGTATGTTCTATATAGTATGAATGTGTGAAGTATGAATTAAATTTAAATGTATCACATCTGGCATATTGTTATTGTCATGTGATTTACGGCGTCCATTGTGTTGCTTCACTGTCAATTACAACTCCCCTTTCCCATGGCCTCATGGGAAAGTAAAGTGTCCATCGAACGCAGTAGCACCTCATTGCAGTACATGAGATCCAGGGGGCGGAGTTGGATCCAGATCTAAGGGGTGGAGATGGGTAGGATTAGGGGTGAGGTTAGGGATAAGGGGGCGGAGATGGGTGGGGTTAGCGATCAGGGGGCGCAGATGGGTAGGATTAGGGGTGGGGTTAGCGATCAGGGGGCGGAGATGGGTAGGATTAGGGGTGGGGTTAGCGATCAGGGGGCGGAGATGGGTAGGATTAGGGGTGGGGTTAGGGATCAGGGGACGGAGATGGGTAGGATTAGGGGTGGGGTTAGGGATCAGGGTGTGGAAATGGGTAGGATTAGGGGTGGGGTTAGGGATCAGGGGGCGGAGATGGGTAGGATTAGGGGTGGGGTTAGGGATCAGGGGGCGGAGATGGGTAGGATTAGGGGGGGGGTTAGCGATCAGAGGGCGGAGATGGGTAGGATTAGGGGTGGGGTTAGGGATCAGGGGACGAAGATGGGTAGGATTAGGGGTGGGGTTAGGGATCAGGGTGTGGAGATGGGTATGGATTAGTGGTGGGGTTAGGGATCAGGGGGCGGAGATGGGTAGGATAAGGGGTGGGGTTAGCGATCAGGGGGCGGAGATGGGTAGGATTAGGAGTGGGGTTAGGGATCAGGGGACGAAGATGGGTAGGATTAGGGGTGGGGTTAGGGATCAGGGTGTGGAGATGGGTAGGATTAGGGGTGGGGTTAGGGATCAGGGGGTGGAGATGGGTAGGATTAGGGGTGGGGTTTAGGGATCAGGGGGCGGAGATGGGTAGGTTTAGGTATATGTAAGGTGGGAGGAGTTGGATCTGGATCCAACTTCTCCCCCTGGATTTTGTGTTCTGCAGTGAGGACCATCTCATTGAATGCGCACTTCAGAGTCTCGACGGAAGTAGGTCGTCCACGTGCTTTTTAGCTTACTGTTTTTCGAAAACTATGCATTCAGACATACTACTATAGATACTATAGTAAGAAAGTATTTGATTTCAGACACACCAATACAGTTGAGGAATGGCACGAGGGTGAGTAAATTATATAATTAAACATTTTGGGTGAACTACCCCTTTAAGTGTGACTTTTAACATTGTACATCTTGTTACATCGAGACTTGTTGATTCTGAAATTTACCTTCGGTGGGGAAATCCACATCACTTCCCATGTAGTTGAATGACTCAAACATGTTTCTTGCCATCTCCATCATGGGGCGGAACATGCTGTGGAAGCTCTGGAACTCCGGGTCATGCAAGGGGGACCTGTAGATACGAGCGGCCCGGCTGGCCGTTGCATCCTGTCTGCTGAACATGCTGGGCATACGGAATGGACTAGGGAAAAAGCCGGGCTGGTGGAAGGCATGCATGTGGTCAAACACCCTCATGCTGTCCGTGAAGATGTTATCTACTCCATCGGCGACCTCTGTGTACCGTTCCTCCAGGTCCTGGAAGCGCCTGGTCTGCTGCTGGTCCTCATCCACCAGGGTCTCAATGTTCTGCCCATTTATCCAAATGGAGCTGGGAGAGGTCCTGTTCAAAACCTCCTCCAGCTAAAGACAGACAAAGAGCGGGATGGTTACTCACACCAGAATGAGTTCAGGATTATTGCAGGGATGTTTGTGCAGACGTCTCACCTGTCGTCCCACCAGGCCAGCTCCACTGCTGCAGGTGCGTGAGTAATACTTCACACAGGTTTTTCTCAAGCAGGGCTTGCACTCCTCCCACAGAGCCTGCATGGTTTCATTACACATTCTCTGTTCCTCACTTAGCTTCTCCTCCATCTCTTTAGCCATCTTCAGAGCAGTCTTTATAATGGAATAGCACAAGAAAAAAAAAGAATAAAACGAGATATATGTATTATAAAAAGTGACTGCAGGGGCTCAAGAAAATATTTTGACACTTAAGTAACACTTGAAAATGTACAAATGTCATTACATTATATAAGTACACATTACAATAAGGTTCAGCGTGTTCACATTAGTTAATGCATTGTTATCATGAAGTAACAACTAAGAACAATTTTTATCAGCATGTATATTACTGTTGTGTTGATGTATTAACTCATAATACATTAGCTAATGGTAATTTATACAACTTGACATGTTAACAATGCATTAATTATATATACTGTATATAGGTTATGTATTTAATATACATCATACATCTCAGAATTTATTGATCTAGGTTAATATTAATATATACTATTGTTCATTGTTAATTAATAATTACCTAATGTTAATTTACACAAGTAACTTGAAATCTTAATAGCATTTTATATATGTAGAATATATAATTAATCTACATAATATTTTCTCAAGATTTATTGATCTATGTAATGTTAAGGTATAAATATACTATTGTTAATTTATCATCAATGTATCATAATCTACATAATGAATCTTAGTTTTTATTGATCTAGGGTAATGGTAATTTATGAATATACTATTGTTCATTGTTAATTCATAATAAATTAATATTTCAAGTTGTATAAATGAACAGTAGTTAAAAATGCATTAATATACTGTATGTAAATTATCTACATCATTTTTTCCCCCAGCATTTATTGATCTGTTAATGGAAAGTTATAAATATACTGTTGTTCATTGTTAATTCATAATAAATTGCCTAATGTTAGTTTATACAGCTTGTATAAAATGTATTATGTAATTTACATTTAACCAAGATTAATAAATGCTGTATAGTTTTGTTCATTATTTCACATTAGCTACTATAAA